CAAAAATGATCAGAGGGGTGGAACACCTCTCCTATGAAGACAGGCTGAGAGAGTTGGGGTTGTTCAGCCTGGAGAAGAGAAGGCTCCACGGAGACCTTATTGCAGCCTTCCAGTAGTTAAAGGGGGCTTATAAGAAAGATGGGGACAGACTTTTTAGCAGGGCCTGTTGCAACAGAACAAGGGGCACTGGCTTTAAACTAAAAGAGGGTAGATCTAGACTAGATATAAGGGTGGTGAAACACTGGCACAGGTTGCCTAGAGAGGTGGTGGATACCCCATCCCTGGAAACATTCAGGGCTCTGAGCAACCTGATCTAGTTGAAGATGTCCCTGCTCATTGCAAGGGGGGTTGGATTAAATGACCTTTAAAGGTCCTTTCCAACCCAAACTATTCTATGATTCTAAATAGAAGTATGCTATCAGGAAACATCATCCCAGTGAAAACAAATTAACTCTGAAACACTAACAAGAAGGTTGTAAGAAAAAGACACGACATTTCTGAAACATTTCCAATAATTTCGCATTTCCTCTGAATTCCCAAGCAGAGTAGTAGCAGATTAAGTTAAACCTTCACATTCTGTAAAAGCTAATTTAATGTCGGGGCGGGGGGGAAGTCTAGGAATGGTTTAACTGGCATGAAAAATGCTGCAGAGGAATACTATGTCTTCCTGTAATGGAAAATACAGTCCATTTCAGAGGACTGAAGAGTGTGCACATTGCAGGGTAGGAGAAGAAAGGGAAGAACACGAATGAGTCACTTATCCCCCTCCCTAAACTGATCTTGTCAGAACAATTACATTAAGCAGCCATTGGATAAGAGAAAAGATCAACCTAAAAGAAATAAAGATTGAATTTGTCCCACGTTTACAGTATCTTAAGCTTTGGCAGGGCGGGGTAATTAACTTAATGGTAATAATTGTAACATATGAAGTGTGCTAAAAACGGTGGGGCTGGAGAACATGCTCCCTCTGAGCACAAACACTGACTAGCACAGAGCTCTGTGTCTTGCAAATATTCTTCTTCTGTGGTGGTGGCGATGACAACCTGAGAAAATGATGTCTGCAGAACCATTAATGTATTGAATACAAAAAAAATACAGGTTTTTTTCCTCCAATGTGATAAAATACTAAAAAAAACCCCACCAAATACCCACAAACCCAAACCTAAAAAAAATAAAAGCCTTTAGAGACAAGTAGTGGCTTAGAGTGCCATTAACACACATTAGGAGCTATGTTTCAACAACTCCAATAGCACATCATCACTTTATGTTTTGAATGCATTTTTTCCTCCTATCTTTGGTAGGAAATGAGATGACTATCTTGTAAGAAGGCAACAAATGACTGTGTATCTCCTGAACAGTAAGGGTACTGTTAGCAAACCGCAACATGTAGTTTACTGTCGCCGCTACAGTCTGAAGTGCTGCAAACAGAACTCGCCTCTTTTTAAAATGCAAGAAATGGGAATCTTTTCACCACTTAAAAACATGCATAGAGCCCAATATTCAAACTTCGTGGAACATTGATTGTGTTATACCTGAACAGATTTGTTTACTATCTACTTTTAGCTTGTTTCTTCCTAATGTTTTCCCTAAAGATCTTCTAAAGGACCACCTAGAAGCATCCCATCTAGGCAAAAAGCAGACAGAGAAGGCAATTGTTCCACTACTCAGAATTCTATGACAGTAACTACGTGGGGAAGAGAGATCAAATAATCAAGAGTAGAAGGGAAACACTATCTGGGATATAGCTGTGACATTGTCTGTCAACAACTAGCCTGTCTATATTAAGAAATCAAATATCTACAATAATTTCTCAATGATCCAAACTACTCCTAAGCTATTTGTGAAAACAAAGGACTGATAAAAATCAATACCAAAAGAGGAAAGTAGCCTAAAGTCATGCGAATAAACATGAATAAAAAGGGGATTTTAAGAGACATGTTTTAACAAAGCATTTTCATATTATGAACTCAGAGCTTTTAGATCATTAATTGACTTTGTTTGTTACATTGTACCATAATAAGATAACTTAGGTACTATGATCCCTAACCACACCATCCACATTCTCTTCAATTCAGTTATAAAAATATAAGGTAGCGTAAGAAGGTATTTGATCAAAAGACAAAGACGTGAGCTCAGATAGTCATATTATTTGCTCCAAAGCAGCTGAGTAATATTTTTAGAAAAGCAGCAGAATGACCAATATTTTCTGTAAAGGGATTCATAATTCAAAGCCCCCCTTATCACAACACAAATGGTAATAAACAAATAGTAGTTGCCAATATGTTATCAGCATAAAGAGCTCTGCACTCAATTAGAATCAACTGCATGTCTGTACAGAGATAGCCATTTCCTTTGCTCATGCAAACTGAGCATGAAAATATAATTACTGTCGTGTTTACAGTAATTATATTTTCTTACATAGGCTATTTTGTTTTATTCATTGTTTTTCTTTAGCCCAATATGCCCTAAAGTATATTGAAATATTTTTTTATTGGAAGTCCAAATAGTTAAAGCCTTACTCAAGTTAAACTTTGAAAAATACAAATTTTAAACAGATAAAAAGTGGATTTGATGAATTTATTGATCAGAAGTTTAGAGCATAACTAAAAATCCACCTGTATGTGACAAAAGAGCACTAGCAATAAAGAAGAAAATAACCCACAGAATTACTTAGTTAAAACACCCATTCTGTAACTTAAAGACAAAAAACCCCAAACCAAACCAAAACAACCTAGATCATACTGAACACAGGTGAAGATTCTGCTGTTACATAAAATACACACATATTTTGATTACTTAGCATTTTAAGGTTATCCTGTGTAGTCTTAACATAAAAAACAGCCAGGTTAATGTATTGTTTAGGTTTATCACCAATCATAATTATTCATGTCACATGAAGCTGTCTAGATAGTTAGGGGGCTTTGGGAGGAGTGGTTTTGGAGGGTTTGTTTTGGTGGATATTTGGGTGGGGGAGTGTTTTGTGGGGGTTGTTTTTTAAACCCAACCACAAGGAAAATAAAACCTAGGTACTGTAATCATACTGAGTACTACATAACTGCAGGAATCTTTAAATAAATCCATTAACACACTGTAGAGTCTTCTCAAAGATAAATCATATAATCCCTTGACCCACTGTTGTATATTGGGGTAGGGACGCAAGGAAAGAAGGGAAGACATCTTTAAGATTGAAAAGTTTAGAGAGAAAGCCGTGTATAAAGTATTGTTTCCTAAACTTTCCGATTATTAAAACGTTAATTTATTGCACCTGATTTAGTAGATGCCTGTTTAATTGTCAGGAGTAACATCGGATTTATATTCTGCTTATGTATACAAACAAATGACAGACATTTTAACCCAGATTTCTTTTTTTTTTAAACAAGCGAAAAACAGAGAACGTAAGAGATGTAAAATAAGAACAGTGTCAAAGACTTAAGAGACAAGAAAATAATGGCATGATTTAGAAAACTTCCACAGTATTCTAGGTAAGTGAAGAGGTGCATCAGCCTCAGATTAGACATCTACTTATAGCTCAGCTAAATAGAAGTGAGAAATTCTTCACATTGCATCACGACTTCAACAAAATACGAGGCAGAAACAAACAAAAAAATACAACATTCCTGAAATTAAATTCTAATTCCTAAGTTCTGCTACCTTAAAGGCAAAAGTATTTTTGCTATAGAAATTCACAGGGAAGTGTGAGCAAGTATCAAGACATTTTTGTTCCTATACAGTCCGTGTCCTTGCTGGAGAGCCGTCATAATCCCATTTTACAAATTGTTCTAAAACGACACTGTAAAGCTAACGTGGGTTAGAACTGACAATTTATTTCCATACATCTTTTTAAATGAGAACCTCAAATGACAATGAGAGGTACCTATGCAGCTTGGATTTATCCACCAAGTTTATGATTCTGCAAATCCATGAAATGCACACTTTCAAGTATTTATTTCTTGTTTCACTGATTTAAACTAGTTCTCCCATGTACCTGAAATTAAAACCATTCTTTTATAGGAAAAACTTTTTTCTAAACAAGATCTTATCCGTTCTTTTTTCTTTACCCAACATTCTAGTCCATTTCACTGTGACTGTTCAAAAGTAAACTACAAAAGTTTCAACAGTTTCAAATTCCCTCAACAAATTCCTTTCTATTAAAGGCGTATCATGCAGAACTGTTGACATATACATACTAGTACTTTGAAATAGCCTATTAACTGCTGTCCACAGCTAAATTATATAGGCTTCATTACTTCAAATTTGTCCATGTCACCACCTCCCTCCCACATGTTTTTAATCTTCTCCTAAAAGTTGTTTTTTAAAAAGCAGCAGCTTAAAAATAGCTTAAGTCTAACTTTTTTATGCCTTTTTTATAACACTCCATTTCCTCCTTACCATATATAGAATCCCAAATTAAGCTTGCTTTGTTTTAGGCTAGATTTATATCTTCACTATCAATTAACGCTGTAAATTAATTTTTAGGTTTATGCTTCTTTTTCCTTTTATAATCTTCAGACCTTTGTGAAGCCTTTTAGAGAAGCTACTAGTTATTTTTCGTTCTCTGTGTGCCTTGGCAGTAGTATTCTCTGTTAAGTCTTGATCTTTGCTTTTAATACCAAAACTTTTTACCATTTTCAATACTCTGTGTTCTGTGTAGTTATTCCTTAATGGGAGTTTTTTGAAAAGCCTTCCTCCATTTTAAGATAACGTAAGCAAACTTTAAACTACTTTCCACTATGAATTCCCCAGTTAAATGCCAAACATCTGGTAACAGTTGTCATCGATTATCTTACCAAGCCTGGTACCAAAAGCCTTAAATATTTTAACCATTTTACAACATAAAAGGAATAGTGGCAGGAGGTTAATAGGAACTGACCTATTCTAGTGTAAATGTCTATCTAACTGCTGAAGGGTTTTGATAGCTGATTTTCACCCAGTTTAACTGGTTCTTAAAAAAGGAGGATTACAGACATTATGAGTCAGCTTTAATCAGCTAAACAACTAACCTTTTGCTCTGTTTGTAGTTGGTCACATCTCTCCTTTTCATGGTTAAGTTCTTTTTCCAGTCTTTCAACTTGATCTCTGAGTTGTACTGTTTCCTTTTCCAGAACAGAAGTTACCTTTAATAGCTCTTCTTTTTCTTTTATTATTTTTTCAATTTTAAACTGTAAAAACAAAAACATTCCTTTTTGATCATTTTTCTCCCCTTCATTCCTATCAAATAAGTGAATAACAGATCAGTCCAGTGTTTGAGCAGAAACACAAAATGTCTGTCTTCTGGCTAGGTTATTTTACAGTCTTCCCCTTATTCCCAAATTTCTGAAGTTTCATTGCTCTGAATAAGCACCACATTACCGTTAGCACACTTTGCAGTGTCTTGATTTATACTCACTCAATTTTTCCATCCTTCACTGAAGTACCTTTACTGTTCCCAAGTGACAGCAACTACGGAGGAGCTAATTATGATGATGACAGCTTGGTGAAAAAAATGGCTGCCGAGTGTACACTTACACACACCCTAAAGCAACGTCTGAAACTTCACCAAAAAACTCAAATGCACACATAGCTAAAAGTAAGGACGGGCACATGAATTGCGGCCTTTCAATACTTAAAGGGGGCTTATAAGAAAGATGGGGACAGACTTTTTAGCAGGACCTGTAGCAACAGGACAAGCAGTAATGGTTTTAAACTAAAAGAGGGTAGATTCAGACTAGATATAAGAATTTTTTCACAATGAGGGTGATGGAACACTGGCACAGGTTGCCCAGAGAGGTGCTAGATGCCCCATCCCTGGAAACATTCAAGGTTAGGTTGGACAGGGCTCTGAGCAACCTGATCTAGTTGAAGATGTACTTGCTCACTGCAGGGGGTTTGGACTAGAGGAACTTTAAAGGTCCCTTCCAACCCAAACCATTCTATGATTCTATGAATCAAGATAATAAAAAAGATTTGAAAAAATATTTTTCTTTCATTTTTGTACTATGAGTACATATCTGAAAGGCAAATATATCTCAGACATATCTCAGTACTTAGTTTCTTATCCCTGAATTTTGAAAACTGTAGATCGAACATACGCATGCACGTGCCTAAACACAACTGACAAAAGGATAGCAAAATAAGTAAACTGTACTGAGCAATTTTCCAATATGCAACTCATACAACCAAGCTGGTTTTGTTTCAGGGTTTGTTTTGGTTTGTTTTTTGTTTGCTTGTTTTTAAGTAGTTTTCAGCTTACAAAATATCAACAAGCAAATGGAAACATCTTGACTCTGGATGTAAGCATGCGTGTCTAACCACATCCATCTAGCAAAGAACATGACACACAGAACACCGCTTTAAAAAAAACAAGAGCTATTATAACATACTTAGGCACCTGCAACTATTCAGCTTTTTGTTCCTGAGCTCTTCATTTGTGCACAAATAAAAGTATACTGGTTCCTTAATTTTTTTTCCTTACACCAAGCACCATTTCACACAAAGTGTATCTTAACCCCTCCAGTTAGTTGGAGAGTACAGATGTGAGAAATGAGCAACTATCTACTCTCTTATGGTTCCCCAGTCTATGCTTAGTGCTATACCATACCTGTAACCAGTTTAAAATCTTTACTCATTTAACCTGTAAGTGTTCTGAACTCCAATCAAATACTGAACAAGCCAGAAATACATACATTACACATTCATATGTAGGTTTTTCCCTCCTGGCTTATTCTTCAATACTATATCCTCTGAGTGTATGTATATATTAAAAAAGAAATTATAACATTTTAACAGTTGTTGAATCAAACCTCAAGAAGTCCAGCTTTCGTGGTCACCACTAACATATCAGAGTTTCCTTCATCTTCCATAGTAAGCAATTCTTCAACAGGGGAAGAGGTACGAAACTGGAAAGGTGTGCTTGCTCCACGGATTTCTCCTTTATGAGTCACATAACAGAACTGGTAAAATTCTCCATCATCATTTGGTAGATAATACCCTATCAAAATAAATTCGTATTTGAAGAAACATTCTACACAAACATACAAGTCTCCATCTGGAACAGATTATCAGATTATGTTAGCATTTCATGCTCATTACTTCAGTGAGGCACAGATACATCATTAAAACAGGAGAAAGGAAGAGTCATCCTATTTAGTAACTTTCATCCCCCAACAATTTCTCGTAGCTTTTAAGACACACGCCAAAACAGTATCAGGTAATACATGTTATATGTACACATCACCATACATACATTAGGTGATAGCTGTTGTTTATGTATTTATGAAACACATAGAATTATGAGCAATGAGATGCCCTGAAGCTGTATCGGGACCACATTGTTATGTAATTGTGGTACAATCACAGAAGAGTAAGCTATTTTTTGGCCTTGGAATACCTATACAACCAGAAACAAAGACAGAATAACATGCAACAACAAGACATCTGCAACTTTACTGGGTTCAATTTTTTGCATGTTTTTTGTTTACTTGTTATTTTTAAATGCCAAAGCATGGGAACACTCTGAATGGATAACACAATGTTAACAATCAGGGTGGAAGAAGTTTAAAATAGAGCTTATTTTTCAAAATTGAAAGAAACGTTTCTTCTAGACTTTGCAAGGTAAGAATAAATCATCCTCTTGTAGCTATGTAATACTGCATGCTGCTAGCAAATTATTTCAGCAGAATTTCTATGTGACTATTCAAGTGAACTGTTGCCCACTAAAGCGTCAACATCAAGCCTTTACATCACCTGGGTTTGCATTTAGTTCTGGAAATGATTGTTTAACATCCACAATAAGCTTTTTACCTTTATTAGTAAATGCAAGAAACCACACCTTACCCAGTTTAATGGTAAGAAAACCAACTGGTTTTATTTAGAACACTTAATTATCAGATACCCTAGCCAGCTTGAGTATGATACTAGCATAACAAATCCTCATCTAATGTTCAATCCAGCTGGTGATGTCACCAATTTCTGTTGCTATTTCACCACAACTGAATCTGCTCCCTTTCTAACTCTATCATTAATTTATATCACCAACTTTTATTCCAGATTCCTGGAAGACTTCTCCCAGTACTCTTAGCTACTTTTCCTACAAATGGTAAAACATTACACGTGCTATACAGACAGTAGTTCATGTTTCCATTAGTCTTATACTTTATTAACTGTAGCTCCAGGAATAGCATCTTAATTTCAAAATCTCAGGATTCTGTGCTTTTGGACCTGACTACACTTTCCTATATAGCATTGCAGTTCAGTTTACCTCATTCAATGCTTAAATAAGGCAACACTATGCAGAAACTAATTCAGAACAATCTACTTTGCAGGTCCAGCAAGTTTTAATATTGGTTCAGACAAAGGGGTTTTAAAACTACCTAATGTCTTTTTTCTTGTATCTAACATGTACTGGAGAGAAGAGATTCCTGATTATTTTCTTCTAACACACCTACTTAATCATTAAAAAAAAAAAAGTATTTAAAGCATGCTGCACAACATTTACTACTTATCTCAGTTAATTAAGCTCCTGTAAGCTCTGCTGATCTCATCTCAGCAGCACTAAAATATCTTGCCAAACGTAACTGGGAGACTGTCTGAATGGAGATTAAATCTGGCAGCTCTATAAAAGTGGTGGTATGTCAGCATGGAATGTAACAGATGGGACAGTTACCTGGTCTCTTCACAGGTGGTAAAACTCCTAAGTACAAAGAACTGATAATGGCATGTACAGCTGTGGGTTTCTAGGTCACTTTTAGTTTTGGTCCAATCCAATTTCATTCACTCAGTGAATTTTGGTAACTGTACAAGAAACTAATGACTACCTTCCAGTTCCTACAGAGCACACTTAATTTTCACAGATTTCAAGGTTATAAAATGGTCAGATCACATGGATATAGTCATCATCAAAAGTACCAGGAAAAATGACATGGAGTAAGAGAAAGAACAGCAAATTCATCCAAGCTATCACTATTTGCAGCTTTAACAAGATACAGTACTAATTTCAGGACTTCAATTATTACTTTTCTATGTATTTTAAGCCATAAACACACACAGATTAAAGCCAACTCTGAGAAGTAAAAAAGAACACAGGAATGTACATAAAATTCTGTTAGTAAGCAGAAAAGCATTAAACAAGTTTAAAAGAGGTGCTCTTTTTACATGCAACTTTGAATGTGTGTCAATTTTTGACATTTGTAATGTCCTGTGGCAAGAAGTTCTGCCCATTGACTGTGTTAACAAGTATCATCTCCACCTCCATTTTGAACCTGTCACTTGGTAGCTTACACTGATGTCTCCTCTTCTTTAAATATGAAGAATAGATAATCCACTCATGCCATGGATAGCTGATTTTAGAGACATCTGTCACTTCCCATTACTTCCCTTTCCCAGTCTGAAAAAACTGGCAGAGGAAGTTCTGAAGGTCACATAGTCCAACTTACCATTCAAGAGACTGTTGTCAGAACCAGCCTGAGACTTCCATGGCAGTGTCTAATCAAGAGTGTGGAATTCCTTACAAACCAGGGATACCTGTCCAAGTGCTGCAATACTCCCTCTTGGAAAAAAAGGTTCTTCTTAATGTTAGATGCAAACCTCCCAGGCCACAATCCATGGCCATTGTCCCTTTTCATATTTAATGAGAAGAGTGTGGCGCTGTCATCTTTGTAATGCCACACCTTTACATAGAAGCTATTTCCTAATTTTGGTCCTCCTTTGTTCATTTGTGCTACTAGATCTTTTTTGAGATTGGGAAGGGGAGGGAGTGGATAAGCTCCACAGAGTGTTGAAAATGCAGTTATACTATAGATTTGTACAGTGGTGTAATATTTTCTGATTTGTTCTTTATTCTTTTCTTTAAAGCTTCAGTGATTTTTCATCAATTGCTCGCTGTCAAAAGGTCCTCTGCTACTCTCTGACAACTCTGAATCTTCACCAAACCGTCATCTGCATTATTTATTCTCTCACAAGAATCACTTTACATTGAGAATGACGTTTAAAGTCCAGAGACTGAAGTCAATGTAAAGACACAATGCATTAAGATATGCCAAGATTAAAACACCCTGCTAATGATTAAACAAAGCCACTTTCTGTATTTGAGAAGTTCTGATGGAAACTATTCTATCAGTCATGAATATTCTCCATTACTATGTAAAAACATACTAAGTCACATATTTCCCCGTACAATTTCCTTGACATCTAAAATAAGAATGAACTTTGCACAGTGAAGTGTGGAAAATTCTCCTCCAATGTATGTTTGTAAAAGTCTACAACTGTTATACAACCATCAGCATTGTAATGAGCAGGTAAGTATTTAAAAAGCTGTGCAGGCTGGAAAATACTGCTTTATATTCACCTTGGAAAGTCAGCACACAGTTAACAGTTGAACCTTCCACATAATTTTCTGGCATAGGTGACCAAAGAAATGTGTAATAATCTCTTGCAGTACTCCAACCAACCTAAGACAAAACAAAACAAACCACAAACAAACAAACAAAAAGAAAAGAGAAAGCATTAAGTGGAAGAATTTGTTATACACAGTTAAGATACCATGGTCTGGCCTTTACAACATACTGTAATATGCATATTTCTGCTTCAACATGCAATAAAAAGATACTTAACAATGTTTACAAATCAGGAATATTTTAACAAGCATGTCAAAGATTTAGCATGAATTTTATTAAGCTTGTTACCTAAGGCAATAAATGGGTCTAAGGCAATAAAAGGGTCTATATAAATTAAAACACCAGACAGTTTTCACTATACATTAAACTATCTGGTACTTTTTTTTTTTCCTATGAAGACACACATTAGTATATTAAAAATACAAAAAATATTAATTCTGAAGTTTATAGTGAGATTTTCTTAGTGTAAGTTCTGCCAATGCTATTTTCTGTCCACAATCCAACAGATTCATCAGAAAACAAAAAGGAGGAAAGAAAAAAATAGCGCTCTTCCACTGAAGAGGCCAAATTTGACAGGGCTAAACTTGCACCTTTTAGACAACTTCTGCAATACTGAAAACCAGCATTTCACTGTAACATTAATTCTTCCGTACATACATGCTATGTCTGCAAGGCAAAAAAAAAAATTTGCACAAAAACCTAACTCAGCTAAGTTGATGCAGTCTTCCCACTAACTTCAATAAACACCTGTTTCCAGACTTTTCCTAAGAGTGCAGTTTCGTACAGTAAGAAACGCTATCCTCTGTAGAAACATATTCCAACAAGCTTGAAATATATGCATCTAAACCTGAAACCCAAAACAACTACTGTAAAGCAATGGATATTAATAATAGCATAATGGTAAAGGAGAAGAACAAATATATCTGTTTTATTCCATCGACTTAAAAAAAATATACCAAAAACCTTGTCAAAAGCTAGGTGTAGTATGATGTATCGGTACCTGGGTATACTGTCTTGGAAGAGTTAATAAGAGGAAAGGGGACAAATTGTCTACGAATTTCTAGCAGGTA